GTGATGGTGATGATGGTGATGATGAGGAGGAGGAGGAGGAGAAGGAGGAGGAGGAGGAGGATGTGGAAGAGGAAGAGGAATATGGGGAAGAGGAGGAGGAGGAGGAGGAGCGGGGCCTATGCAAACCGAAGACGCACCAACGAGGTTGCAAGAAACCCTCCCTCCAGGTTCCTTCTCCACAGGTCCCTACTAGAGCTTAGGTTCATTGCGATAAGTGCCTCACTGGAAGACAAGCTTTTGAGAATCTTCAATCATGCCAAACACCATCCCGTGGACGTCAACGCCGCGTAGCAACGTGAGTGCTGCGCCCCCAAGTCTGAACCACGCCAGGACACCGTTCCTGGGACTTCAGCGCCGCGCATCAACGTGACCGGCGCGTCTTCGCGCCAGAACACCATTCTTGGGATGTCAGCCACACGAGTCCTTGAAGCCATTGCAAACTGAAGAGGCGAAGGTGCGCGGTGCCAAGGCGAGAGCCGTAGTATGAGAAGGACCCGCCCTCCATCATTGTAACTGATGCATATGTTCAAGACGAATGTGCGCGGCGCTAAGGCGAGAGCCACATAAAAAACAACAACAAAAGACGCACACGCCCCTCATCCTTGAATCTGTTGCAAATTTCAAGCTTCAAGATCATACATGGTGAGAAAGTCTCAGGCGAAACGTCTGGCCCGCCCTACAGACAGGTCGGTGGGTGCGACGGGCAGAGAAGGGGAGGAGGAATGAGAGTGGAAGAAGATGGAGGAGGAGAAGGGAGAGAGGGAGGCACATGGCGTAAGAGAAGGAGGGGAAGGGGGAGGAGGAGAAGGAGGAGGAGGAGGAGAAGGAGGAGGAGGAGGAGGACTGAGAGGAGCAGGGGGAGGAGGAGGAGCAGAAGGAGGAGGAGGAGGAGGAGGAGGAGGAGGATATGGGCGAGGACTCAGTATCTTTCCTTCTCCTTCCTATTCAATGTTCTCCCGACTCCGTCCCTCCTCCTCCGCCTCCTCCTCCTCCTTCGCTTCATTCTCATCATCCTCCCTGTCCGCTCCCTGCTTCTCCTGCTCCTTGTTCCTCCCTCCTGTGCTCCTCCATCTCCTTCTTCGCCGTCGTCGTCGCCGTCGTCGTCGCAATCGGCAGCTTTTTGTGGGGCGCTGCTGGAGGCTCGCGTCGCCACGCCTCCCCTCCTCCCCTTGCTCTCCCTCCCGCCATCTCCTACTGCTCAAGGTTCCTCCCAACTCGCTCCGTGATTGGTCTCCTCTTCTCTTGTCTTGGCTGCACGTTTCTGCCTCCTCCATCCTCTTCCTCGTCCCTCTCCTACGTACGTCCTCCCTCCTCCACCTCCCCCTTCTTCCTTCTCCTCTGTGCTCCTCGTCCTCTTTCCTCCTTCCGCCTTCTTTTCTTCATCCTTCTGTTCTTCCTTCCTCATATTCCTTCCCCTTCTCCGTTCTTATCATCCTATCCTCCCCGTCCACTCCATGCCATCCTCGCCGTCCTCCTCCTCCTCCTCCTCCTCCTCCTCCTCCTCCTCCTCCGCCTCCTCCTCCTGCTCATCTCCCTCCTCCTCCTCCTCCTCCTCCTGCTCATCTCCTTCCTCCCTCCTCCCTCCTCCTCCTCTTCCTCCTTCTCCTCCTCTTCCTCCTCCTTCCTTTTCCCTTGTCCTCCTGCTCCTCCTTCTCCTCCCCGGCCTCTGTCTCTTCTTCTTGCGAGGCGGGCGAGGCCTGCGCGAAGCCCCCGGAGCGGCTGGCCCTGTCCGTCTCCCTCTCCATGCTTTCTGATCCCCCCTCCTCCCACCTCGTATTCCTCCGCCTCCCCTCTCTCGTCCCCCTCCCTCATCCCTCCGTTGTCCTTCGATGTTCTCCTCTTCTTCTTCCTCACTCATCCCTCCTCTTCCTACTCCTCCTCCCTCCTCCTCCTCCTCCTCCTCCTCCTCCTCCTCCTCCTCCTCCTCTTCCTCCTCCTCTTCTCATCTTCCTCCTCCTCCTCCTCCACCTCCTCCTATTCCTATTCCTATTCCTCCTCCTCCTCCTCCTCCTCATCATCCTTCTCCTGACCGTCACCATGGATATCCCTCCTCCTACTCCTCCTCATCCCTCTTCTCCTCCTCTTTCTGGCTCTTTGCATCCGCCTCTCCGGGTCGACCAGATGTTGGCTCGCCTCCCGGTGCTCCTTTGCTCGTTCAAGCCCTGTTTGGTCAGCGGCGTCGGCGCCCCCCTGGCTCGCGCGGCCTGCGGGGCAATTACCGGGCCCCCGAGACCGTGGAAAAGCGGCTCGGGATGAAGAACAGGTCTCGGGGGCGGCCAAGAGGGGGTGATGACTCGGGGGGGGGGATATCGGGATATCATGGCGGGGTTCATGATATCTCCCCAGATTCCACGGCGCCTCTTCTTATTTCATTACGTCCCTGCCCCCCCCCCCCTGGGCCGCGCACATGCCGGCGGCCATGATTGGCGCCCCCCCTCTTGGACGCCCCCCGCTTGGCCAACCCCGATGAAGAACAGGCATTGGGGAATTAGTCCAGACCTCAGGGGGGCCGGGCTGCGAACACATACGGCGTCACTGTTCTGGGTCCCCGCTCTCGCCGCTCTCTTCTCTCCGATCGCCCTCCCCCCGCAGCGCCACTCCTTCGCCCTCCTAGTCTTCGTCCCCACTTCCTCCCCTGCCACACCCCCTTTCGAGGTGCGCATCCTTCGCGCGCGGCCGCTTCCTTTCAACATGAGCCAGTTCGAGGAGGTGTGGAGCGACATCTGGCCCAAGGGGGCCGCCTTCTTCACTAGCCAGGGGTCGCCAGAGGTGCCCCTGGCCCAGTCTGACCCCAGGATTTCCAAAGGGGCCCCCATGGCCTCCAGAGCAGCTCCCACGAGGCAGAGAGGATGGGGCGAGGGGCTAGGGGCACCCTGGGCCACGGGCACCTCTGGAAGCCCCCGCGCCAGCCTCAGCTTCACGTCGCTCTACCTGCACGAGTATCCCGATCGAGGATCGAGGATCGAGCCCGCCCGGATGCTCCTGGCGCCCTCCCATGAGATCTTGGCGCCAGTTTCGTCTCGCAACGGGCAATGTTGTCATGTTTCAGGCCATGGGATCTCGATGTTGCAACTTTTTGGGCAACGTCGGATCTCAGGGCCCGGGCGGCCATCAGGGAAAGACACGCGACGAGAGGTTTTTGGCATTTTTTCGGTTTCGGGGGCCCTCGCCGGGCCCCGGGACGTCAAAGAACGACGCGGGATGAAAAATTAGTCTTGCTCCGCGTGTCCACGTGAAAAACGTCACGACGTCGGCGTTCGGGGGATTGCCGGCGAAGAACAGCAAATCAACACATTCGGCGAGGTACCTCCCCTCCGAGGCGCGCGCGGTCTGGATCGAGCCGGACACGATTGTGCAGGCGGACGTAGCGCGGCTCTACCGCACGCCGATGCGGACGGCGCTGGCTGCGGCCCTCGACATGAAGGCCGACCCTGCGATATGGGAGACTCGCAGACCCCCTGCGCACCTGCACACTTCCTCCCCACCAATCGCCCTTCCCGTCCGTATCTCCACACTTCCTCTCCATCCGCGCCTCCCTCCGTCCTGCCCCTCCGCCTCCCTCCATCCTGCCCCTCCTTTTTCCTCCTCCTCCTCGTTCTCCTCCTCCTCCTCCTCCTCCTCCTCCTCCTCCTCCAACTCCTCCTCCTCCTCTTCATCCTTATCCTCCGTCCGACCTTTTGCCCACGCATCCCTTACCACCTCTTCTGCGTTCCCCCCCTCGCCCCCCTCCGCCCCCTCCGTTCCTGCACGTGGAGTCCTGCCCGAGACCAGGGGTGGCCGCGGAACCCTCCGCGCGGGAGGAGCAAGATCCGTTGCCGCCTGGATATTGTCTCGGCGAGGGAAGAGGATAAGGATGATTTAGGAAGAGGAGGAGGGGGGAAGAGGAGGAGTCCCTGTCTCAAGGAAGGTTCGACAGCGTCCTGCAGATGAGCGCGCGGCTTCTTCTCATTCAGGCGGGGCATGTGGTCGACCTGGATTGTTTGTGGTTCAGTGGTTCAGGGAAGAGCAGGCACCCTAGAAGCCGGTTTGGTTTGAACCGTTTTTTGCAGTGCATCGCTGACACACAGGCTCGAAGGGCAGAATATCAGTAGCTGGCTTACGCCGTTCGGGCACGCGCGCCAGAAGCTGGCGCAAAGGGCCTGGGGCTGCACGGGAAGCGCTGGGCGCAGGCTCCGGGAGGATTGCAGGAGGTTCAAGCAACATAGACATACATTGTTTGAGCTCCGCGCGGGTTTCTTGGAGCTACGCTCGGCCCCCTGGCGGCGTTGGGGATCCAGGGCCGATCCAGGAATCCGCGCGGACCTCCTAAACTGTATCCAGCAGCCTTCGGCCCATCCCGCACCGTGCCTGGGTTGTGGGCCAGAAGCCTTCGGGATATTCGTTGGGATGTCGCGCGAGGTCGCTCGGGGGCAGGTTGGAAGCTTCATGGGGGCCGTTTTGGAGCTTCTTGGGGCGTCTGGCCTCTCGGGGGCCTCGTGGGGCCTCCTGGGCCTCCTGGGGGCCTCGTGGGACTGAAGATTTGGATTTTCGGTTCGTGCTCCCCCTCTTTGACACTTCTTAGGGCTGTCTTTGGGCCATCTTGGGCGCCTCTGGGGCCGTCTTGGAGCCCTCTCGGGCCGTGCTGTGGCCGTCATAGGGGGCCTCTTGGGCTGTCTTGGAGCGGTGCTGGGGGGCCTCTTGGGCCTTCTTGGAGCGTCGGGAGCTCGAAAAGTCGATGGACCCAAAATCATTGGAAAACCGATGGAACATCAATGATTTTGGCATCTCGGGGCCCCGTTGGGGAGGCTCTTGAGGCTCTTTTGTGGCGTCTCGGAGGCGGGCAATCTTGGGCGTCCTGGTGCGATCTTGGGGCGTCTCGGGGCCCCCTTGGACCGTCTTGGGGGCCTCTCGGGGCCCTGTTGGCCCATCTTGGGGCCCTGTAGGGCCGAAGACGTCACGCGGGGAGATGCGCCGGAGCCCAGGGAGGCCGCGAAAAGCGCCGAGAGATTTGGCAACTTGGGGTCCGGGCCCCCTAAAGACTCCTTAGGATCGAGGGCTGAGGCTCAGGGGATTGGGCGAAGGACCTGAGGACACGCCCACTCCGTGCTCAGCGGCACGGTGGCGGATGTCTATGAGGTCGTTCGCCTCCTGTAAAAAGGCTCGTGTTCGGGCAGGGGCGGCGAAGGAAGTCCACGGGAACGTTTGCAGGTAGCTAGGCTTCTCAACGCCACGCCGTGCCTGGACCAGGCTCACCAGGGAGTGACTCGCCGAGGACGGCTCCATTTAATTCCGACGCGACGTCGCGCTTCATTCCAAGACAAGGCAGGTGCCAAACCGATGGAAAAGAGATGGTGTACATGATTGTCTGAAACTAATGTGCACCATCTTCCTGCGAAGGCACCATTGCCTTATCAAAGAGAGGGCGGCTGAGGATGACTTCGCCCAATTCTGACGGAGTGCCGCGTTTCGCCCCAAGAAAGTGGCCAACCCGACACACAAGAGATCCCGCACGTGAGTTTCAGTTTGATGCGAAATGGCCAGTACTACATGAGGCACGTGTGGCGCGGCGACATTTGCGTTGTCGGAGGCGCAGCACAGTGGACCTTTTTGTGAACCATAGCGTGGGCGCAGCCTTCAGCTGGGACTCTCTTGCCTGTGTGTCCGCACCACGATGCTTGGAAGTGCCCGACCACCCGTGGCAGTCGATGGGAACTCGTACCAACCGAAGAGACCATTGATGAGCACTTGCGTCAGGTCAGCTGTGTCACTCGCGCCCGACTTCTCTTTTTCCGACGAACTCTGCTCTCAGTCGATGGGGTTCTTGAGCACGGTGGCGCACCAGAGCGATGTCGCGCCGGCGGCAGGAACAAACGAGTGAAAATAGGCAGGTGGATGTTGGCGCTCGGGCGCTGAAGCTAGTGGCGCAGCAGCACCGGCCAGAAAGGCCCTCTTGCAGCCCTTGGAGGAGGCCCTGCTGCATCGCGCCAGAACAGTTTTTCCCTTCGGGGCGTTTTCGCCCTCGGCGGAACCTTCGTGCTTGCGAGTTCGTGCCGCCCTAAATTCTAGGCGAATTGATTCTCCTCAATTCCATCCCAGGGCCGTCAAGCATCTTTTTGGGACGGGCAAAGTGCTCTCTGGGATGGGGTCGAGACACCTGGGGCCCGCGGGTCGAAACAAAAAGCAATCCACGGGAAGCCTTTGGAGGCACCAGCGCCCGTGGAGGCACCACGCAAGGGGGCCGAGCTGCTGAATTCGACCACTGCTACGACAGGGGTCCCGACTACTGGGCGCCCCATCTCCTGGGACGTCCATCGCGGCGATTCCATCCACCACGTATACGCCCGCGAAGCTTCCGATACGATACGAATGCACTCCTCTGGCCGCTTCGCCACTTCTCTGGAAGGTTAGCGACCGCGCGGCTTTCGACTACCGAGGGAAGGTTGTGGAGTCTGACATCCAGCTGCCGTGCCAGGGAGTCGTGCAACTGTTCGGAGGATCATGGCGGTGTTGGGGAGCTTGCTCCAGTGAGGCACTCCAAGATCGCAGCAGGGAGGCGTACTCAATTCTGCCGGCAATCTGGCGCAAGGAGCATTCCCGCGACCACCTCCCTGCAAAGTGACGACGCCGCGCACACGACTGGCAGGCGGAAGGCGAGCACCGAGATCCTCCATGGAGTTCCGCTCCGTTTTGGGCAGCCAGAACCACCAGACGCAGCGTGCTGGTGAGGCGAGGGCTGGTGAAGCCCCTGCCACTCCAGCAATAGGCGACGCATCGCCGATTTCAACTCGAGGCTGCCTCCTTTGCTGAACGAGCCCCCGCTTGTCGTTCCCTCCCCCCGTCCTCCCTCCCTGGACTAGCCGCCCCTGCTGCAGCCGCCAGTGTGAATTGGGTGTGCGCCCTGATCGAAGACGAGAGAACCCCTGGAGATGCGTCGAAGGCATGGGCGACCGGGGCCCTTGGGTACATGTTCACGCCCTCCCCCCTGGGCCATCCGCACTTGCAGCAACTGCAGCCGTCGGTGCGATCCTGGGCCGCGCGCGCCCCAGCCCAAGCCTTCCGCTCGGGCTCGTCGGCCCCGCCCTGATCGGCCCCGCCCTGATCGCCCCCCCGGCCGTGTGGCCGAGCGGGCGCGGCTGCGTCTAGTGGCTGTTTTGCGCGGCTTGGCTGCGACTTGTGTGGGAACGAAGACTAGGACGAAGAAGAGGAGGAGGAGGAGGAGGAGGACGAGGAGGAGGAGGGGGAGGAGGAGGAGGAGGAGAAGGAGGAGGAGGAGGAGGAGGCGGATGCGGAGGAGCAGGAGGAGGAGGAGATGGAAGAGAGGGGAGGAGGAAGAACAAATACCCCCTCGCGTCGCGACTAAAACAATACGGACGGTTTTTGGCCACTTTCGGCCTCTGGGCGCCCTCACCGAGCCCCTGGACCGTCAAAGAACGTCCCACGAGGAAAACCAGCCCTGGGGAAAGGATCCAGATCCCCGGGGGCCCACGTTGTGAAAAGATCACGACGTCGGAGTTCTGGGGGGGAGGAAGGCGGGAGGAGGGCGGAGGAGAAGGAGAAGAATGACGAGGAACAGGAGAGGGCATCAGGTGAAACGGAGCGGCGGCCGCTGGGGTTGCCTGCGGTGTGGCAGGAGTTGTAAAACCCGTGCTCGCCTGGTCCAGGAGCGCTGCCCTGGTGTGCTTTCCAGGCTTGCCCAGGCTCACTGGTCCCATCGATTGTGGTGGGCGGGTGGGGCTGAAGGGCTTCTCCGGAGTAGTGCTTGCGGCGCCTATGCCAGCCGCCAGATTTTGAGGTTGGGGGGTCCGTGCCGTCCCCACCCCACTTACGAGAGGTGGTCCTTAAGGACCTCAAGGCGGGCAAAGAACCTCCTCATTCCGCCGTGCTTGCTGGTTCAAAGGGTTTGACGAGGTAATGGCGGAGAGGATGGACGTCTGTTGGGAAGACTCGGACTGAGCAATTCTTTTTCCCTGGATCTGGCTGGTTCTGGCCTTCCTGGTCCAGGGGCTGTGCGGCTGGCGATTTGTTCTGGTGGACGTGTGGGTTTGACGTGGTTCCCATCCGGGGCAGCTTGCAGAGGAGCGGAAAGAGGAGGAGGAGGAGGAGGAGGAGGAGGAGGAGCAGGAGCAGGAGCAGGAGCAGGAGCAGGAGCAGGAGCAGGAGCAGGAGCAGGAGCAGGAGCAGGAGCAGGAGCAGGAGCAGGAGCAGGAGCAGGAGCAGGAGCAAGAGGCAGGAGGAGGAGGAGGGAGGAGGAGGAGGAGGAGGGAGGAGGAGGAGAGAGGAGGGGGGGGGGAGGAGGATGAGGGGGAGGAGGAGGAGGGGAGGAGGAGGAGAGAGGAGGAGGAGGAGGGGAGGAGGAGGAGGAGGAGGATGAGGAGAGGAGGAGAGGGAAGAAGAGGGAGAAGGGGTCCGGAATAAGGGTTCCAGATCTCTTCTGTCCTACCCGTTCGCGCGCGCGCATTTTCTCGTTTGGCCAGCGGGGGTGGCCTTGCCGCCACGGCTGGGCCTGACGCGGGAAAGGTCTGTTCCGGCCTTCCCCCCTCGTAGTCACCTGTCGCCTGCTCCTCCTCTATCAGCTCTGCTGCTGCTCCTCCTCCTCCTCCTCCTCCTCTTCCTCCTCCTCCTCTATCAGCTCTGCTGCTGCTCCTCCTCCTCCTCCTCCTCCTCCTCCTCCTTGACTGGTCTGTGACACATTCCGGACAGGGTCCAGGTTTCCACCTAATCTGCGGCAGAATCCAAGAGAAACGATTTCGACGGAGAGCCCAAACATCCGCCGATCTGTCTTTTCCCATCTGCGGGCACTGAGGTTGTGACCCCTCCCACGGGGTTACGTTTTCTCCCTGGGTCTACTTTTGATGGCCACGGGGCCCGACCACGACCCCCAGAGGCCGAAATCGAGGGAAAACGCCAGGATGGGAAAAACATATCGTCGGAGACCTGGGATTAGAGCAGACAGGTTAATCTTGTCTGAGGCGCGCGCGAGCAGGTAGGATGCCGAGGTTGCCACCTGGCGGGCGGTGTTCATGGAGCTCATGGAAGACCTGGAGCTGCCGAGGCAGCCATGGTGGAGGCCTCTTAACCTCCTCCTCATCCTGCTGCTCCTCCTCCTTCTCCTCCGCCTCCTCCTTCTCCTGCTCTTTTTTTGACTGGGGGGCTCTTGGGGATGGGCCTCTGGACCACACATCACCACGGCCAAACAGATCAATCCTGCTCGCGCACGGGCTTTCCCGTGTACGGGTTCTTACCGTCCAGGATACGGTCACGATAGAGCCTCCGCCACCGATGGGCGGCAATACCCTTCGTCAACGGGCCCTCGCATTCCCGCAGCAGCTTCTGGGCTCGGGAACGGGCGAAAGCCCCACAAATTCGGCACACGGCATACCCCACCATTTCGACCACTTCGTGTTCCCGAGGTGGGGGTGGGGGTGAGACCTGGGACCCAGACCCCCCGGCTTCCGCGGCCCTCACAGCCGCAGCAGCGCGGATCTGGTCCGTCACACAATCGCCGTGGACAAGGGCCTTGACTTTCAAACGGACCCTACCTTTTGAAATGGCTCCCCCCCATCCAGGGCACAACTCCCGCTTGGCCAAGCGGAGACGAGCGGCCACACGGACGAGGCGAGAGCACTGCAAACACTGCCACTTACCACCTTCAAGGAGCCTGAAACGGTGGGCCCGCTCGGGCGCGACTGCCATGGGGCGGGCGACACGTTCACCCCTCCGAGACCGACCAGCAGGCGACGGGAGGCTCGTGGTGGTAGCTTTGGCTTCACTAAGATCTACCCTGAAAGACGCCGCATACTGCAGCAGCCTTTTCTGAAACTTTAGACACTGCTGGACCTGTTCCACCTTCCACTTCGGGGCGGCATAGTGGTCAGCTCCTTCTCTAGCACGGGCATCCGCACACCTATTCATATCATAACGCATGAGACTCTCACCCGACAGACAGGCCCTTTGGGCCTTGGTCATGTGAGACTTAATCTTGACAACTTGAAGGGACTCACCTGGGACAAGGCCCTGATCTTCCAGGGCATCCCAAACAAGCTTCCAAAGGTGCGCGGTTATCTGCTCGCTGTTCACACAAAAAACCCCTGCCAGCCAAGAGCCCCTGAACAACCTGCTTGCTGTCCAAAAGGAGCCCTACGAGCCCTACAGAGTGCTTCACAGCCTGATACACAGCCCAAATCTCACAATGGGCCGATGTGGGCCTCGCGACAGGCACTGCACCGAACAAAGACTGGATCTCACTCTTCTTTTCATCGCACCAGGTGATGGCGGCAAAGCCTCCCGTGGATATCTCCTCCACATCGGGGGACAGGACGCATCCGTCCGTGGCCACCCAGCCCGACAGCACCATCTCGCCGTCGGGATCGCCCCACTGGTACTCGTCGGGCGGCGTGGGCACCTGGTACTCGGCGACGGTGTCTGCGATCAGGCCGCGAGCCCAATTCCAGAAGAGTGTGTCGCCGCCTGTGCAGCCCTGCTCCTCCTTCGTGGCGGCCATCTCGCCCAAATGCACCACGTCCCGAAAACTGTTCTTGGGGGTCGGCTCGGTGAGGCCATCCCGAATCGTGACGCAAACGTCTGCATCACAGAGAAAATACACGTGCATCAAAGTGCCCTTCTTCTTGCCGCACAATGGGCACATAGGGCTGGTGACCTGGCCGCGCTCGTAGCACACCGTCTGCGTGGGATAGCCCCCGAGCGCAACCGTCCTGGCACTGTTAATGTGGTGCCTCGTCCAGGTCTCCGTGGTCTTAGAGCGCATGAGCTGCTTGACTGGCAGCAGGAAGGGGGTGGGTCGGAGCGGCTGGCGCATCTCGTCCGCTAACGCCCAGTCCATGAGCTTCTTCTTCGCGATCGCCCTCTCTGCGGCACGTAGGACCTCGAGGGGGGCGACTTCGCGAATGTCCCACTTGTCGTGGGCGCCGTCGAGGATGGTCCAGGCGTCCTCCATGCGCCAGCCCAGCTCGTGTACCGTCATAATGGTGGCTGCAGCTGGCCCACGCACCATCCTCCAGGCGTCGAACTTGGCTGGGCCATAGGCGAGAGCCCTCTGCACCTTGGGCCACTGGCGGCCCCAAGCGTGCGCCATCTCCTTCCGCCTCTCGGGCTGGTCCCAGGCCTCGCGCATCCATGCCCGCAGAGGGGCCAGTCTGAGCTGCTCGGCGCCGTCCGTCCTCGGCGCAATCGCCCAGCCCAAGGTGCCTGAGCGAAAGGCCCCAGCCCCTGCGCGCACGGCCGCTGTCTTGGCCATGACGAACTTCAGGACTGCAGGAGGGGTGCCAGCACAGGTCGCCCCGTGCGCCACTGACGCTTTGAGGCCTTGCTGCACCACAGGGCGCACCCTCACCCCTCTGCGCTTGAGAGCCGCCGCCTTGCACCAGCGGCCCCGGGCCGTCTGGGCCCGTCTGGATCTGGTGGCCCTCTTCCGAGGGCCCTGAGGTTGGTAGCCAACTCCCAACCAGCGCTCGCTCTCACCGTGCTGTAGGCCGATGTCCGCCATGGCCTGTGTCAGCTCCTGTGCCAAAGCGCCGTCGCTGGAGACGAACTTAGACTTGCCTCTCACACCCTTCGAGACCTTTAGCTGAAGCAGCGACTCCAGAAGGTGGATGAGAGCGCGGGCCAGGTCGGGAAATATCGCCCTCAACTGCGCGCTCCTGCCCACCATACGCAGCGCCAAGTCGTCAACAAACTTCGTGATCTCCAGCTTGGTCCCTGGCCAGCGGGCCACGACATCCAGGATAGGATACAGCACCATCTTCAGGAAGCGATTGGCGTACTTCGATCCAGCGGGCAAACCAACATGGGTGCAGATGAGGTCGGCGACGGCCTGGCCCTTACGTACCGCTCGAGGGAAGGCGTACGACTCCAGGGAAAGGGCCAACACGCTCATGGGCGCTTGCTGCACCATGCCGAGAATCCAAATCAAATTGAGCGCCACATATTCATAGGCCTTCTCCAAATCCATCAAGGCGGTGATAGATGCGAAACGGGTACCTTCTAAGGCCTCGTCATCCAACATCGCTCTCCAGACCGCATGCTCACTGCTACGCCCTGGTGATGCCCAGTCGTATGGCCTCACGTGGGCCCGCTCCCACTGGCGAACCGAGGGGTCCCGAACAGCCTCCCAGATGCGCACAGGCGTGGGAAACAGGAAGATGGGCCTGCCGCCACCGTCCTCCTTGGCCACCAGGAACAGGATGAGCATGCGTATGGACGTAGGCCACGAGCAGAGCCGCTCGCACAGCATGAGGATGTCCCCGAGGCACTTCAAGGCCTCGTCGCTGAGCCAGGCCAGGTGTCCAAAATGCCAGCCGTCAAGCCCAAGCCCAGTCTTCCATTTGTAGCTGCGGCATATGGTGCGCACCTGCACCGCGTCGATGGCAGGCAGCATCTGCGCGTGGGCCATCCGTTGTGGCTGGACCTGAGTGTCCTGCCACAACTTGGTGTAGTCACCTGACCCAGCGCGCCAAATGCTAGCCCACTCCTGCGCCTCCTGAGTGACCGCGAGCTGCGGGTCAGCAGGCAGTTTCAGCTTCTTGGCCGACGAGATGGGCTCCTTCCACGCCTGCTTCCAGTGGCAGATGCGATGCAGAAAGCCCCCCGAGCCAGGGAACTTCGCGCTCAGGCGCTCACAGAATCGCTTGGAGCGCTGCCGCATGAGGTGCTGCTCCCAGGACTGGGCCCGCTTCTTGGCGAACTGCTGCAGCGCGAGGATGGCCTGGGCACCGATGATGCGGGGCTCCACGTCAGCGATAGCGCGCAGAGTGGACAGCATCCCCACGCTCCAGAGCCCCAGCTGGTCCCAGTGGTGTCTCGCCTGGAACAGCTTCCTCCAGGCTCGCCTGAGCTGGCCTGCGACCTCCTCGTTGTAGGTCCGAGGAGGCCCTCCTCCCGAGGTGGAAACCTGGCCCGCAAGGGCCTCCGACTTGGCCTTGGGCGCCGACTGTCCCCGCAAGACGCAGCAGACGAGTTGGCCTATCCAGGCCAGTTCCCCCGCGGCCCAACGCCAGGCCCTGGCTGGGCCTCGATCAGCCACAGGGCTGTCATGCTTCGGGAGAAGCTGTCTATGCACCACCTCGGGAGTCAAGCCTCGGCCCTCATACCTGCGTGCCTCCGATTCTGTCCATCCGAACAGCGATCGAAGCTCGGCCTCAGCAGCAGAGCAAACATCCAACCAGCACTGGTCCAGGTGCCGCTGCGAGCCGTGTAGCAGGTCGGGCGCGGGGTAACTCTGCGGGATCTCGGGCTGCCTGACAGGAGGTGGCCTCGTGATTGGGTACTGCTTCGGGCCCTTGAGGACCTGGATCTGGTATGCGTGCCAGGGTTTGTCGGCGCGGATCCAAGTCGGCCTGTGCGGCCTGTAGGGCATGTTCTCGAAGGACTTCACAGGGCAGAAAATCACGGCCAGCCTCGCGTCCATCCAGAAGAAGTCAATGACCCGATCCTTGAACTCCTCCGCACCCTGCTTAACCACCTTGGACCTGCACGTTCCTCCTTCCCCTTGCCAGGCCAAGACTTGGCCCTTGGCCTCCAGGTTCCAGGGGCTGTTGAGAATGGCGTGCGGCTCATTGTTGAAGTCACCCATGGCCATCCAGGGGATCCTCATCTGGCAGACCCAGTGCACGATGGTATCCAGCAAGGCCGCGTTCAAGGCCCAGGTGACAGGCTTGCCCGTGAACAGGTACACCGAGAAAAAGGCCACCCAGCCAATGCCCTTGACCTCGGTCATGCCCAGGCACAGCCTGCCTGCGGCGCCCGCGGGGGAGATGTCCCACGAAACCTGTCCTGGCGCCAGGCTGAGGCTCAGGCATCGCGGTGTGACCAACGCCACGCCCGCGGAGCTGCCGCCCTCTGCCGTACGTACGGCGGGTGCCCCCACAACTCGCCAGCCCCGTCGCTCTTGCGCCGCCGCCGTGACGTGGAACCACTCGGCGGGCTTCGCGTGCTCCTGCACCGCTAGGATGGGGATGCCGCCCTCCTTGATGAGCTGGCCGATTTCCTCTTCCATGAACTCCTCGACGCGAGCCCAGGAGAGGTTGGCATTGAAGGTGGCGGCGATGACGTGTCGTGCTCCTCGCCGAGCGCGTCGGCGACTCTGGGGCATCCCAGCTGGGTCATCCCCCTTGTGCTGCGGCCTGCCCGCGAGGCCGACGGACTGGGGAGCGGTGGGTCCGATGGGCGGTGACTGCCTGCCCATGGCCGCAGGGGCGCAGTGGCCCATGCCCTGGCCAGCGTAGGCGCCCCCGCCGCCCCACGTGAGGCCGTCCCCGTGCAGCTCCTTCTTGTGGAAGCCCCCGCTCGTCCAGAACTGGCCGTCCTCGAAGGTGGTCCAGTCGAGCATGGGCGGGCCCGCGGGCCCATCAAAGAGGCGTCTGGGGGGGCGCCTCCTCGCCAAGGTGGTCGTAGAAGGAGCCCAGCACTGCCCGCTTGGCGGCTCGCTCTTCCTCGGGCAGCCCACTGAGGTAACGGTCCAGCAGCTCGTCCCTCTTGCGCTTCTGCTCCTCCACGGATCCGCCGCCGCCTTCGGCCGCGGCCTGGGCAGCAGGCCCCCTTGGGGGCGCGTCCGCCGCCGCTGCATCTGGCCCCCCAGGAGGCGCGGCGGCAGCAGCAGTGGGGGCCCCCGCGGCCTGAGGGAGCTCCTTGACCAGCTTGAGCAGACTCTGGAGAGACTCCACGAGCGGCTTGGGCACCGCGTCTCCGTCTCCCTCGGTGTCTCCCACCAGCTTCTCCAGGTTGGCCACGAGCTGGCTGATGACCGCCTGCCCGCAGTGTGGTCCGCCGCCGTGAGGGCCCGCTGCCCCAGTTGGGGCCTGCTCCTCGGCGACCACCCGCCTGGCCAGCTGAGCTGCTCCAGCTCCTTGCTGGCCGCCTCCTGCATGCGCTGGGCCTCCGCTGGGCGCTGCTGGAGCTCGGGCACGACCTCATCCCGCTGGCGAGCGAGCTTGCGCTGCGCGGCTGCCATCTTGCCCTCCAGCGCCTGCAGCTGCAGGTGCAGAGGCTTGCCTGCCCGCTTCTGAGCGACAAGGGCCGCCCTCTCAGCCCGCTTGGCCTCGATGATGGACACGAGGCTGGGGTCTGCGAGGGACTCCAGCATGCCGATCGACTTGTCGAGCACCGCGATGGGGTCGGGCTGCTCGGCTGACTTCGACTTGAGCATGTCTGTGCCAGCCCCGAAGTAGCCCCAAGCAGCGCCAGCAGTGCCGCGAGGAGCGGGGCCAGCCACGCCCTTGTCCTTGCCCTTGTCGCCCTTCTCCTTGCCCTTGCCCTTGGCCTTGCCCCCCGCTGAGGGGCTTGTCGTCTGCCACGGTCGCCGCACCGGAGCGGAGCGGGACGCACGCATGATGGCCGCCTGGATGTGTCTCGGCGCAGGGGCGAGACACTGGCGGCACTGCATCTTGGTCGCGAAGTTGCCTCCAGTCCCACAGTGCCCACATGTCCAGGGCTCGGCCCCCTGGAGCGAGGAGAGAAACTGAAGCGACGCATCCTTCCAAGGTGCCATCAACACACTGTGGCGGCAAAAGAGGACGAGCAAGGCGGTAGGATACCGAATGTGCCCTGACTGGTGATGTCAGGGGAAAGCTGCTGGGGCCGTGTGCGCCTCTGGGCGCTCCCCAATGCCAGAAAGTCTCCGTCCGCTGCTGACGCCTGGGCCACGCTACGGACTTGAGCCAAAATGGCTACGGCCTCCTTCTCCTGCTCCTCCTCCTCCTCCTGCTCCTCCTCTTCCGCCTTTCCCTCCAACTCCGCCGCCTCCTCCTCCTCCTCCTCCTCCTCCTCCTCCTCCTCCTCCTCCTCCTCCTCCTCCTCCTTTCCCTCCAGCTCCGCCGCCTCCACCTCCTCCTCCTCCTCCTCCTCCTCCTCCTCCTCCTCCTCCTCCTCCTCCTCCTCCGTCTCCTCCTCCGCCTCCTCCCTTCCTCTCCTCCTCCTCCTCTTCCTCCTCCCTCCTCCTCCTCCTCGTCCTCCTCCTCCTCCTCCTCCTCCCTCCTCCTCCTCCTCCTCCTCCTCCTCCCCCTCTCCCCCTCCTGCTCCTCCTCCTCCTCCTCCTCCTCCTCCTCCTCCTCCTCCTCCTCCTCCTCCTCCTCCTCCTCCTCCTCTCCCTCCTCTCCTGCCCCGCCTCCTCTCCTCCGTGGCCATGTTGGCTCGAGCTGCTCTCGCGCCCCGGGAGGGCGCGCGGCCGTGGCTGCGGGGGGGCCGCCCGCCGGCGTGGCGGCCTTCGGCGCAGAGGATGATCGACATCCTGGAGCTCAGGGCTTCGGGCGCGCGGTGCGCGGCACGGAGCCGGCGGATGGCGGCGTGCGCGGCCGCGGTGCGCGCACGCGTGCTGATGCGGGGTAGTCCAGGCTCTTGGCGCGACCGCGAGGCGGCCGCCCGCCCCCGCGCTCCTGCTGGCGGCGCCGGGGGTGCCAGACATGATCGCGTCGTACAAAAATCCGGATGGGAGGTTTTCGGCCATTTTCGGCCTCGGGGAGCCCTCGCCAGGCCTCGGGGAGCGTCAAAAAGATGATTCAGGTTGAGAAACCGGTCCCGGGGAAAGGGTCGGGACTTCCGGGGGCCCCGCATTGAACAAACTGTCTGGGGGGTCGGCGCAACGCCGCATGGCATGCGGAGCGCGTGCCATCAGGAGGCTTCGTGGGCGCCACGGGCGCGGCCCCTGCCTTGGCGGCGGCTGGACCCAGGCTGTGCTGGGGCGTAGGGGGCCCCGATGGCGCGGTGCATCCCGTCGCGGAGGTGGAGGCGGCGCTGATGGGAAGCGCGGCGCGCAGCGCGGCCGTGGCGGTGCAGTTGGCTTGCCCGCGGCCCTGCCCGCGGTCCCCGCGTTCCCCCTCTTGCAGCGGGAGGACTCTGAGGACGCGACCGACGCCCTACGGCAAGCAGGACTGCGGCGTGGCGCTCGTGGCTCCCGCCAGCACGGCGACCATCGGCGACTCGCAGACGGGCCATGGGATGGGGGCTATCTCCGGCGGACCGCAGGTGGACCCCTTCGGCAAGGAGAGTTTCGGGGGCGTGCTGGCGGAGCGCGCGGCGCTGCTGAGCGACGGCGGCACGGAGATGAGCTCCAGCGGCGTGCGGAAGGACTCGTTCGCGCTGGAGGCCCACCACGGCGACCCGCTGGCGGTTCACGTCGGCCAGCAGCTGGACGGCGAGGCGCACGCGGAGCTCGTCGACACGGTGAGCACCGGGGACTCGCAGGTGGGCTACGGGAAGGAGGTCAGCTTCGGCGACAGGCGGGAGGACCGCGTTACGGAGGGGAGCTTTGATGACGAGCGGAAGGACCCGTTCGGCGAGCGGGGTGGGCTTCGTAAGGCGGAGGGGGCCCGCGCTAACAACCCCGCTAACAACCCCCAGCCCTCCATGCAGACCGAGCGGCCCAACAGGGAGGACGACGAGGGCGACGACGGCCCGCAGGAGAGGCGGCTGGGAGACCACTCCTGGCTGGCGGCGGACGGGGCGGCGGACGGGGCGAGCGCGGCGGAGGCGGCCGCGGGCGTGGCCCAGGCGATGGACGACATGGCGGCCCGCTGATGTGTGCGGAAAGACGGTGCTGGCCGACAAGCTAGCCGAGGGGCGTGCCGCCGTGCGGCGCCGCATCACGGAGCTCATGTACGAGCTCAGGGCAGAGCGTGATGAGCCGCAGGTCCAGATCGACAGCTCGTCGTCCGAGCTGCGCAGGCTGCAACAAGGCCTCGACGACCTCGAGAGCGGGGCCGAGGACGGCATCCTCAGCGTCGTCTGATCGGGCCGCGGGCCCTGACAGCATGTGGCTGGCTGCACTGGTAGCCTCGCTCCCGTCGGGCAACCTCTCTGGGCCATTGCCTCGGCGCGCGTGCCGAGCGCCTGCACGGGAAGGCGCACCCCGTTGGGCAACCTTGCTGAGCCCTTGCGTGGGCGCGCGGGCCGTGCGTTTGCATGGGAGGGGCGCCACAGCGTGAGGTTGGTTGGGAGGATGGCCCCCGGTGGCTTCGGCTACCATGCAATGTGTTGTCGTCGTAGAGAAACGCTGCGGCGCCCACACCGAGCACTTCCGCCGCCACGCGGTAGCGAAGATGTGGGTTGCCTGACTTCGCCGCGGATGCCCACCCTCATCGGCTCTTTGATAGAATCATCCCCCTCCTCCTTTCCTCCTCCTTCTCCTCCTCCTACTCCTACTCCTCCTCCTCCTCCTCCTCCTCCTCCTCCTCCTCCTCCTCCTCCTCCTCCTCCTCCTCTCCTCCTCCTCCGCCTTCTCCTCCTCCTCCTCCTCCTCCTCCTCCTCCTCCTCCTCCTCCTCTTCCTACTAGTAGTATTATCGTCGCTCCTCCTCCTCCTCCTCCCCCTCCGCCTCCGCCTTCGCCTCCTCCACCTTCTCTCCTCCTGTCCTCCTTCCTCCCTCCTCCCCTCACTTCCTCCTTCTCCAGCCTCCTCATCCTCATCCTCCTTCTCCTCCTCTCCCCTCCTCTCCCTCCCCTGCCCTCTCCTCCTCCCTCCCTCCTCCCTCCTCCTCCCTTCTCCTTCTCCTTCCTCCCTCCTCCTCCTCCTCTTCCTCCCTCCTCTTCCTCCTCCTCCTCCTCCTCCTCCTCCCTTCTCCCCCTACCACTCCGCTCTCCCCCTCCTCTCCTCCTCCTTCTCCTCCTCTTCCTCCCCTCCTCCTCCTCCTCTTCCCCTCCCCACTCCTCCTCCTCCTCCTCTCCTCCTCCTCCTCCTCCTCCTCCTCCTCCTCCTCCTCCTCCTCCTCCTCCTCCCCTCCTCCTCCCCCCCCCTCGTCCTCCTCCTCTCCTCCTCCTCCTCCTCCTCCTCCTCCTCCTCCTCCTCCTCCTCCTCCTACTCCTCCTACTCCTCCTCCTCCTTCCCTTCGTGGAGGCCCCTCGACATCAAGCTGGACGACCGGATCCTGAACAGCGGCGTGCTCGTGCTCGATCTGAACCGCTGGAGGGCGGAGAACAGGACCGATCGGAAGGGGAGGGGTCGAAGAGCAAACACCTGCTCAGAAACTTTCATGGGCTGCGCGTGGACAGTCCCCCCGCGGCAGCCTCTGCTGGCCTCAACAGGCCACCCGTCTAGTCCCTGCTGGCCCCCCGAGTAGCCCAGGGCAGTCCAAGCACCCTGGCGCCGCAGTTTCGGCGGCGCCCTCGGGGCGCTCCGCGCCCCAGGCTTGGGGTGTTGAGACTGCCTTGGGCTACTCAGCTCAGGGGGGCCTGTTGAGGCAAGCTTACTGGGGCGAGAGAATAACAACAAGTATGAACATAAACATTCGGAACTCCGCGCATATTTCTAGGATCGGCGCTGGACCACCCTCCCTGGCGCGCTCCGAGGGCCAGTGGCGGCGCTGGAGGCACCGCTCGGGTGACTGCAACGTCGTGTGGCAACCGAAACAATATAACCAGATGGCCGAAATATTATGTTTCTGCAGATGATTCTTCTCGACCGGTTTTCAACCACGGTCGAGAATGGCGAAGCGGCTCCAGGTGACCCGCGCCGGCTCAAGGCTCGTCAGGTTGGCCAGGGCAGTCCGCGCGCCCCGTCTGCTAGTGCGTGAGACAGACTTTTGGAAGTCGCGCGGACCTCTTGGGTCGGCGTTGGACCCCCCGCTCCCCTGGCGCGAGAAGCGCGCCAGGGGCGGTGCCGAAGGAATCCAGCGCCGATTGGGCCCAAGAAATCCGCGCAGACCTCCAGAAAATCGAATAGAACGAGAATGATATCATGATGCGCTTAGCTCAGGACACGTTCTGGGATGTCTGGGATATAGCGGCCCTCGGCCACTCGTGCGGGGCCATTCGCCTCTGGCTGCGCAGGTCGACAAGACAACCTGGAAACCTCAGAACGCATCATGATCAGAACTTCTTGCTCATCCGATTTGGTACGAAATCTCGGGCTGCGGACAAGCAGACCCCCAGGTAGTCCCAGCTGGCTTCAACAGGCATGGTTCCCGTGGTTCTGGACACGGGCGTGCAGACGTTCAGGGAGACCGTGCAAGCGCTGGTTGACAACCTTTCTACGGTCATCGATGAGCGTTCGCAATTCTCTGAACATTCGCATAGTTTGCTACTTCGCGCTGTTGACTGGCCTGTGTGTCCTTTCTTCCTTCCTTGCCTCGTTTCCGGCTCTCGGCTCCCCCTCTCCCTTCTCCCTCCCCGTGTCCTCCGCCTTGCCCTTGTGTTTCCTTGCCTTTTGTGTCTTGTGTGCTCTCCCTCCGTCTCTCTGCTTGGCTTCCTTGATCCGTCTCCCCGTCCTCCGTCTGTCGGCCCGGTCTGTCCTTCCTGTCGTCTCTCCCCTCCCGCCCCCTCCCCCTTCCGCTCCTCGGCTCCTCGCTTTCCTGCCTGTCTCGGTTCCTTGCCTGGCCCGCGTTTCTTTGTCGGCCCGAACGCATTCCAGTTGCTCGTCTCACTCGGTCTGCCCAGGCGCTTTTCCGTGCGCCGTCAGGGGCCCGGCCCGCCGCGGCCGGTCAGCCGACCGCTTGGCTTCGCTTCGCTCTCGCCTTCGGGCAGTAGTAGGGATGCAGTCGTGTGGTAGCCGAAAGAGTTTATCAAGATCGCCGAGTATTTTGTGAAACGCCCGATGGGCGCGGAGAGCGCCCTCCGTGAGCTAAGCTGAGGAAAAAAACATTCATACGACCACAGGAATCATGCAAATCGTGTGACTGGAAATCTGGCGCCCCTAGAACGCCTTCAGGACCGCGGCTCGAAGACATCGAAGATGTCGGAGTCCAGATCAATATCAGGAGGATGATGCAGGTGTGTGGAAAGAACCCCGACGAAGCAAAAGATATCGGCGATCACGGTGCCGATGCGATCGAAACGGCCGAGGGCAGGCGACTCCTCCTCAGACGAGCGGCGGTGCTCCCGGGCGCCCCAGCCCACATGAGCACCGCACCGATGCACTCCGAGGATGTGGACGCTCCAGAGCGGCTCGGACCAGGGGACCCATCAGCCTCGAAAGAGCCACTCCAGCACCGCCCGCCCCCTGCGGCGTGGCGAGCGCGCCGGGATCAGGCCGGCAGCGGCAAGCCGCCCCCGCTGCTGCTGACGCGCGCCTCGGTCGCGAGGCTCAGGCGAGGGTGCCGGCCAGCGGGATGCCTACGGCATCTGCACCTCTCTGGATGGTCTGGGCGGCCTGCTGGCAGGCAAGCGCCTTTCGGGCCGAACGAAAGGGGGGGATACGGAAAGGGGGGGTTACGAAATCTGCTGCATGCAGCTGGTTTCGGCCCCGCCGCCAGGCCCATTCTTCGATACATGAGCGCCTCCCGGCGCTGGGAGGCGCTGGGAAAATCAGCTACGTGAGCTGACTCTCAAAACCCCCCCTTTGCTATGCCCCCTTTCGCCCGGCCCGAGCCTTCGCCACTAGAGAACGACCCCCGGCTCGAGCTCCCAGGTGATACGACCCCGCCGCCTGGTCAACCAGGTCGTTGCAAATCTTCTGCACGTCCAGGCTGTGCACGGAGAGGGCCCGAACCTCCTCCAGCACTTTGAGGTATGCGACGCTCCTGGCCACCGTGGCCGCCGAAGGGGGGCTGGTACTCCTCCGGCGTCGTGTGCTGGAAGCTCGGCGTTTGCTGGCGCAGCAGCGTGGCTGGGTACCTTAACTCCGCGCTGTACTGGTACTTCAGCGTGGGCTGGCACGTCAGCATGAGCTGATGCAACAGCTTGAATTGGCACTGCAGCCTCAACGTGTGCAGGTAGGTCAGCTCGTACTGGTACTTCGGCGTGAGCTGGTACGGCAGCGTGAGCTGGAGCTTCAGCTTGACATGGTACTTCAGCCTGAGCTGGTACTTCTTCTTAGTCTTATGGAGGCTTCGTCAGCCCGTACTGGCGCCCCAGCTTGCGCAGGCCCTCTCTGGCGAGCGTCGAGACCGCGACCGTCAAGCACAGCCATGGAGCCGACGGGCAGGATGGCGTCCGTCCACCACGCCATCAACAAGTCCGCTCCCCTCCCCCCTGTCTTGGGCTCCTCGTCCGCGCATCGCTGGCCCAGTGCTGCCGCGCCCGCCGAACGCCAGCTTGCATTGCATCGTGTGGCCCCTCTTGTTCCCATCCCCCTGTCCCCCCAAGCCAGTGCCTGAGCCTGTCTTCCTGCCTTGTTTGTCGCTCCTGCACTCCTCGTCGAGCCGGGTACAACTAGGGCCATGTTGGCCGAGACGTTGTCCGTACAGCCTGGACGATGCACATCGAGTTTTGCGGGGGTGGGCCCGATGGGTACGCATGAAGCTGGTGGTGATTCGGGAGATGCTGCGGACGGAAAACAAAAAGAAATGTTCGTAGAAGCCGCTGTTTTGGACGGAGTGGGCCAGACCATGGACCAACGCGGTCTGGTCATGGACCAGTCATTGGCTCTTCGTGGAGGGGCGGAGTGATGAACAGATGGAGCGATGGAGGAGGGAAGGAAGGAGAAGCTGGAAGACTGGCCTGGCGACTGGTGAACTCCACCCCTTCCGACCTGCGACAGACAATGAGAAGCGCGCACTTTACAAAACGTTGCTCTTGAGCCTGCAGGCTGAAGCAAGCACAATGGGGCAATGGAGCGTTGGGTGTCGAAGAAGAGATATCGCAACAAGTTCCTGTGAATGTTTGAAGGTGCAGTCAGATTTCTTGGCCAGGCGGGTCCCAGCGCCGATCCGAGAAATCTGCGCGGAGATCCGACGGTTTATGCATATGCAGTTTTTGTTTGTGTTGTGTGTGTGTGTCTCTCTCTCTCTCTCGCTCGCTTCCAAAAAACACCAGATGACTTGTTGGGTGTTCTGAGCCGCTTCAGGACTGGCAGGTGCGAGGAGTGGGTGAGGCGCGTGAGCGGCGTCAAGGTGGCCTCGCTCGCGCTCAACCTGGAGTTCGGCCGCCACTTCGACGTGCTCGACTGGCGCTGGAACGTCAACGGGGCGTTACATTCACGGTGAGGACTGTTTGCTTAACGTGCCGCTCCGCCAGTTCTGGCCCACCACGCTTCGGCGCGACACTCCAACCTTGGCCGCCAACCGCTTCCCAGTCCCCAGGTGTCAATGGTTTGAGCTCGTTCTAGCCTCCCGCCCCGCGGAGCGGAGCGACACGCTATCAACTTGAAAGGCATAGCGTGTCGCAGGGGCCGCCGCCGCGACACGCTAAGTAAACGTTCCTGACCGTAAGTGCGACGGCGTGGTAACAAAAACTTTCGGAGGCCCGCGCGGATGTCTTGGATCGGGGATGGGCCCCCCCCCCTGGCTGCGCCTGCAGCGCCGTGCCCGGGCCCGCGGAGCGCGCCAGGGGCCGAAAGTCCATGCCTGCGCAGCTGCTTCTTCCTCAGAGCAGGAGGAGGAGGAGGAGGAGGAGGAGAAGCAGGAGGAGGAGGAGAAGCAGGAGGAGGAGGAGGAGGAGGAGGGGAGGAGGAGGAGGAGGAGGAGGAGGCCGGCGCAAAAATTGGTAGTATCCAAAGGGCAGGACCACAGGCCACGGCCCTATGGGGCTCAGGAGTGTCAGGGCTAAGTGGTAGGCAACTGCATCTCCTTCGTAGAGCTGCTGCCACAAGCCTCCACGTGGACAAAAAAGGTGCGTCGGTGGGCCCCAAGTTGGGCAGTACCAAGATCGGCCGCGTGATGGACCCCTTCTGCCTCTACCACTCCCAGGTCATAGGCTTCTGGGCGCGTGCGATTTGGTTAGGTAGGCCGTCTTTGGGAGTGTTGCAAGATGTTTTGGTTTCGGCGGCCAACGACCTCGAACGGGCTCGCAGCTTGTGGGCTTCGTCTGCCAGCCCTGCCCATGTTTATCTGTTGTCTGTCCAACAGCTTGGATGGAACACCCCTTCGGCCAACAGTGTCATAATTAACACTGGGGAAGAAATTTGTCTCACCAAGTTAGCCCCAAAGCAAGTCGTTTGGTTGGCCCACTGGGCTGCTCGTAATGTGTCTGATGTGACTGCGCTTAGTAATATGGAAGAGTCGCCAGGCTGGACGCGGCCGATTTTCTGGAAACCGTTGGCCAGCCTCTTGGAGGGCAGACCGTCGCAGACCTGGACGGCTAGGCACCAGTCAAGTCTTCGCTCTTTAATTTCTCAGCAGCACTGGTGCCAAGCCAAGCAAGCGCGCCACAACAAATCTGAATCTAACCTGTGCTAAGCCTGTTTTAATAAGCCAGGCACGCTATGGCACAGGCGCTTCATTTGCCCATCTTGGGCCGCGGACCGTGATAAACATTGTAGCCAACGAGTGCTCCGTTGTGCGTCAGTGCTGCAGCTCTCGGGGCAAGACCTCGAGAAGGCAGCTTGTGGTATTTTCCCCATGCCCCTTGAGGTCGTGCGTAGACCTCTGTGGGATAGCGAGTGTAGCATCTTTTGGACTAAAAAGCCTGAGTGTGGGCATTTGTTTGGCCATGTTTTTACTGACGGTTCAGGCCTCCACCCCGCATGCCCCCTCTCCTGTAGAGCTGGTTGGGCACTAGCGCAACTGTATGACGATGGCTCGCTTTGTGCTGCAGCCTGTGGTGCCGTGTCTTGGGATTTGGGGCCTTTCCAGACTGCTCGAGATGGCGAAGATGTTGCCATCCTGTAGGCTGCTAGAGGTTTAGTGAGTGGAGAAATAATTTTCCACATTGATGGCCAGGGCACGATTGATGCTGTTAATGACAACGCCTGGTCCACTTCGGTCAGGCACTCGAGGTGCCACCTGTGGGAAGAAATTCACAGGAGGCTCCCTTCCATCAGCGCTGTGAAGGTCAAAGCCCACCTCCCCTTTTCGGCGGTCTCTGAGGGCCGAATTTCGGAGTATGAGTGGAATGGTAATCGTGCTGCCGATGTCTATGCCGGGCGGGAGGTCACCCAGCACCCCGACACGTCTGACTGTAAATATACCCTAGACGCCCTGGCGGACATTGTTCAAGAATTTGCACGTTGGGCGGCCATCCAGGAAGTATCGATGGCCGAGCGCGAAGATTATGATTCCCTCCCTTTTCCTCCTCGGGTGACCTCTGGGGAGGTGGGTGGGGGGTTCCTCTCGAGTAAGTCCAGGGTCAAGGTTACCAAGCCAAGGAGCTCTAGGCCAGCCATTACCCCTGAGATTTCTGAAGAATTCAATGTGCTTGTGGCTCTGCAGGGCCACGTCCTGCGGCAAGCTGAGGTTTTTACTTCCTCTGGGCTTCCGCCCGCACCGCCAAAGAACCCAACCGTGCTGGTTTGTGCTGCCTGTGGCGGATATGCCTGGGAGGCTGTGCTCACCCTTGCCAAACCATGCAACGTGTCGCCACCCACTGAGTCTTTGCGCAAGCAGCCCAACCGTGCCCGCAAGCTACTGTTTCCGTGTGGGTCTCGCCAGTACAGTGGATGGACGGTGGGGGCCTGGAAGGCCCTTTCCCCGCAGGCGATTGCTGCTAGGCTCACCCCCAAGGCCTCATCTCTGTGCTGGCGTAAGGTTGGTGCTGACTTCTCTGTCCCTAATGTGGCGGTGGGGGGGAGTGGTGGGAAAGGGAACACGTTGCTGCTTCTTTCGGCCTATCTGTTGAGGGTTTAGACTCAGCAGTTGCAGTCAAAGCCGAAGAAGCCAAACAATTTGCCCTCAAGCGTAATCTTGAGGAGGACCAACCAAGCAGTGTTGTGTAATGTCCACCTTGCCTCGTGCTTGTTGTTTTCCCTCTTCCTTGAGGTATATTTGTTTCGGCGATGTACTTCTGTAGTGACTCGTGGATTGCCTCTGGCGCCTCGGGATGTGCGATGATGATGAGGAGGAGAAGGAGGAGGAGGGGAGGAGGAGGAGGAGCAGGAGGAGGAGGCGGAGGAGGAAGACGAGGCACACAGCGCAAGCTGAGAGCACACAGCAGGCGGTCGCCAGCCGGTCGATCTCCACCCTTGTCGGGGATGTTGCGGTCGGCGTTGCCGGGGGAAGGCGCCGACCTCGGCTAGGTCCCGGGGCTTCGGAGGGGCCCCGAGCCCTCGTGCTCCCGGCCTTCGCCCCTCCGACACGGCGCCGGCGCCGAGCTCTCCGGCCCGCGCGCATGTGCTTGCAACCGTGGTCCTGGAGCCGTCCTCGTCCATTTTCCTCCCTCCTCCCTCCCTCCGTCCTCCCTTCGCCCCTCCTCTTCCTCCCTCCTCCCTTCGCCCCTCCTCTTCTTCCCTCCTCCCTCCAGGCCCCCCGGCCGCGCCCAGCAGGCCAGCCGCTCCTGGAGCCTGAGTTTTCTGGCAGGCTGTTTGCCCGCCAGCCGGCGGCGCGCCCGGGGGGAAGCGAGAGGGGCGGGCCTCCTCCGAAGGCTCGGAAGGCCTCCGGCCTTCTGAGAAGCTGTCTAATAGCCGAAGCCACACACGGCTTTTCAGACGGCTGGAGTGCTTCTAATAGGCCTCGCCGTCTTTTGAGAAGGCCCCCCCTCCCCCGCACGCCGCCGATGAGTTGTCGGGTCGTCACTCTGGCCTCTGGCGGCCGTTCGGGACGATCCGGGCAGCCCTGGACGCCTCTCGGCGAGGCGCGGCCGCTGGAACGCACCCGGGGCTGGAAATCCGCCCAGAACCAATGAAAACGGCCGATAACCTCGAGCCTCGAACTCGACGACTTCGCCTTTCCCCCGCGGCGCTCCGCCGATTCATGGAACATGAGCTTCCTGGACAAACTTTTTGCCTGTCCCGCCAGGTCATGGGGCTCATGGTCACCCCGCCCGACCAATGCCTCGGGCAGGCGCGGATCCTGCACTGGGCGGAGGCGAAGAAGCCGTGGAGCAAGCAGGCCCCGTCCTTGTTCGAGGAGGACGAGAGGAGGGGGGGAAGGAAGTGGAGGGTAATAAGGAGGATGAGGAGGAGAAGGAGGAGGATGAGGGGGAGGAGGAGGAGAAGGAGGAGGAGGAGGAGGAGAAGGAGGGGGAGGAGAAGGAGGAGGAGAAGAAGGAGGAGGAGAAGGAAGGAGGAGACGGCGACACAACACCGTGCAGGCGGGCGACCCTAAATTGGTCCTAAATTGGTCCAGCACGAGGACCTCCACCCCGTACTGTCAGAAGCCGACGGGCCCCTCGCGACCACCAGGCCCAGTTTCCCCAGGCCCAGACCCCAGCCCACCCCTTGCCCCAGCAGGTGCACCAGACTGTGATCCCTTGAGCTTCTCACGCAGCTATTCGATGCCACTCTCGCTTCAACCTCTGAAGCTGGAGAGTTCCTTAGGCGAGACAGCAGACGGGTGGCGGATGAGGATGAGGAGGAGGAGGAGGAGGAGGAGGAAGAGAAGGAGGAAGAGAAGGAGGAGGCGGAGGGAGGACGTGTTGGGAGAATGCGGGAGGAGGAGGAGGAGGAAGGAGGAAGGAGGATCAGAGTAGGAACAGAGACTGTTACTTGGCACTCGTTCTGGAGAGCCCTCGTCGCCACGGTTGGATTCTCTTCGAAATTCTAGGCGCTTCGCGTCACCCACAGCCCTTATTCGGCGCTGTTCATAGTCCCCCCTCTGCTGTCGACAGTGACGGCTGGGTTCGCTAATTATCTGCATGCTAGCACGTGCGATTGGCTGTCGACAGTGACAGCGGTGTTCGCTAATTATCTGGCTCTGTGCCCCAGTCAGCCCGATAGACACGCCCTCTGGACTCTTCCTTGCGGGCCGCTGATCAAAAAAGTAACCCACAGCCCATCCAGAAAAGATGCCCAGGCGAGTTGCCTTGATCTGGGTTGTGGAGGAGCATGCAGTGGAATAAGGGCTGGGAAAGCCGCCATACCTCAAGAGGGGGAGGAGGGAGGGGGTAAGGGGAGGGGTCGTGACACCTTCTGCTCTCACAGGGCACAGTCCGTCTCGCTCACTCCCGCCCGCCCTCCCAACACATAAGTAGCTAGCACCCGAACATCCCTGTCAAAAGCCTGTGCAAAGTGGCCACGGGGCGCCCGCGCATGCTCCAGATTTGGAAGCACAGTGCATTTTGCATTCAAGCTTGACAGGGGTTGTCGGCCTGCGCGCAGCAAGCAATATGAGGGCACCCCCGCCGTCCCTGTCACAGCCGTGCAAAGTGGTCACGGGGCGCCAGCGGGTGCTCCAGTGTTGGAGGCGGTGTGAATTTTGCATTGCTTTTTGACAGGGATGGTCGGCGTGGTCGCGGGGCGCCCGCGCATGCTCCAGATTTGGAGTCTCCGTGTATTGTGTTGTATGGTTTTTTGACATGGATGGTGGGGGGAGGCCAGCATGGGTCCTGGCTGGCGCCGGTCGCCGAGTGGAGGGGGTTTCAAATCATAGGGAACAGTGGTAAATTCTTCCCCGAAAGGGAACAGTGGTCAACTCTTTCCCGAAGGGAAACAGGTGTTTAATCATGCAGGGGACTGGAAAACTCTTCCCCGATAGGGAAGAAGGGGGTTGGAAGAGGCAGCGCGCTAACCCCAGAACGCACCCAGGGAGAGATCTGGGGAGTCGCGGTATCGGTAAGACGGAGCACAGAGGAGGAGTAGGCATAGGAGGGGAAGCAGGCCCGCGAGGTTAGCGATGAGGTTCAAGAGTGTCCCACCCTGAGCAGAAAGAGGTCGAGCTCGACAACTTGTGCTCTGTTTCTCGCCTCGTCCGCCACCCGCCTCGATGTCAAAGGCCCTTTCCTGGCAGGGCGAGGCGCCTGACCTGCTTGCCCACGGCACGCCGCGGGCCATTTAACGCCACGGGTGGCGCGCCCAGCGGCCTGCGCAAGGAGAGGAGAAGCGGGAGGCGGTGCAGCAGAAGGAGCGTGTGCGGAGAGCTGGGGGGCGGAGGCGGGCCGCCCGGAGCGGGCAGGCCCTGGATTTGCCGATGCGGATGCAGGCATTCTACAGGAGCGGGGCGTCGGCCCTGTGGGGGCGGCGACGTTCGTCGTCGTCGTCGTTCTCGTTCCCGGCGTCGTTCTTGGCGTCGTTGTCGTCGATCTCGTCGTCGTCGTCGTCGTTCTCGTCGTCGTCGTTCTCGTCGTCGTCACTGTCGTCATCGTCTTCGTTGTGGTCGTTCTCGTCGTCGTCCTCCTCCTCCTCCTCCTCCTCCCCCTCCTCCTCCTCACCCTCCTCCCTCCTCCTCCTCCTCCTCCTCCTCCTCCTCCTCTCCTCCTCCTCCTCATTCTCCTCCTCCTCCTCCTCCTCCTTCTCCTCCTCCTCCCATTTCTCCACCTTCTCATGTCTCCTCCTGCCGTCGTCGTCGTTATCATCGTCGTCGTCCTCTTCTTCCTCCTCCTCCTCCTGGATTTCCTCCTCGATCCCCGCCTTCTCCTGCCCCTCTTCCTCCTCCACAGTCTCCTCTCCCGGGCAGCACAAGACGAAGAAGGAGGAGAAGGAGGAGGAGGAGGACGAGAAGGAGGAGCTCTCTCTTCCCCGCCCAGACTCGACAATGCCCCTGTCTGCAGCGGAACTTGCAGTCTCCGCGCTTGAGGGCGGCCCCGAGGAACTTGACCAGCCCCTACGAGCCGCAGGGGGCGTGCAGCTGGCGCGACGAGATGCTGGACTCGGACGCGGACATCTCGCTCTAGCCGCCGCGGTCTCCTCCTCCGCCCGGTGGCCTCTGCCCGAGGCCCTCGCCAGCGCGGGCGCCGCTGGGACGCCGCGCGCGCGCGGGCAGCCCGCAGCGCGGGCAGCCCGCGGCAGGGCGAGCCCATGGCGCGGGCAGCCCGTGCACGGCTCGCCGCTGGGAGGCCGCGCGCGGGCAGCCCGCGGCGCGCGGCCGCACCAGCGCGGCGCGGCGCGCCGACGGTCCGGCGCGGCGCCCGCGCGGCTCGCTGCTGACGGGCCGCCAGCTGCCGCGGGGCGGAGGGGGGACCCGCGCGGCGAAGAGGCGGCGTTTGGGGCGTGCGCGAACCCCGGGGGAGGGCGGCGGGAGGAGGAGGAGGAGGGGGAGGAGGAGGGAGGAGGAGGAGGAGGAGGAGGAGGAGGGAGGAGGAGGAGGAGGAGGAGGAGGAGGAGGAGGAATAACGTAACGATCGCCGGTCCATGCCTGCATGACATTAAGGGAAATCCAGGGAGGGTTCGAAGCCCACGTTGACCTCGACCCGACGACCAGACCACCGTGGTTGTGCATTGCTGTTTTTTTCCTGCGTTGCAAGTATTTTGCGCTGCGCTTGGGCTGTCCGAGCTTGAGCTTCGGATTCGCGTGTGAGACGGGAGTGGTGTTGAGTGGTTCAGGGAGGATGGTTAGCCAATGTCGCCTTCGATCTCACGACTATAAAGCATGTTTTTCCGCAATGCAGTTTTTATGTGCGCTGCAGCTTTTTGGCATTGCTGTTTGGCTGATCGAGCTTGAGCTTAGAACTCCGCGTTTGAGATGGGAGTGGCTTTGAGAAGTTCAGGGAGTGTGTGAAGCCCATATTTTCGTCGAACCGACCAGAAGACAACGACTGTCCATTGCAGTGTTTCTGTTGCGTTGCACTTTGGTTTGCGTTGCAGTTTGGCTGTGCGAGCTTGAGCTGAGGATTCTGCGTGAGAAACAGGGGTGGTTTGGAGAAGTCCAAGGAGAGTGTGAAGCCTACGCCGACGACCAGAACACCATTCTTGTGCAGTGCAATTGCTTGTTTTGCGTTGCATTCCTTTTCCCGTGCAGTTCGGCTCCTCGGGCTTGAGTGTGGGGTTCGCGTGTGAGACGGAAGTGGTGTTCAGAAGTTCTGGGGGGGGCGTGAAGCCCACGTCACCGTCGACCCGACGACCACACAACAGTTTGTTTCGCAATGCAATTTTGTGTTTGCGTTGCAGTTTTCTGATTGCGCTGCAGATTGGCAGCTCGAGCTTCAGCTCAGAATTCTGCGTGTGCGACAGGAGTGGTTTTGGAAAGGTTCAGGGAGGATATGAATCCTACGCTACCTCGGTTTGACGACCAGAAAATCAATGTTGTATTCCACTTGATTTCGCTGCCGTTTCTGCTGCGGTGCAGCTTGGCCGCTCAAGCTTGAGCTTGGCATCCCTCATGGTAGACGGAAGTGGTTCGGAGAGGTCCTGGGAGAGCGAAGCCCAGTGGATGTCACACTTTGAGTGTCTCCCAGAATCTCTACCCCACCAGCCGTCTGGATGGCCTGCGAGAACTGCCTTTTTCTCCCACGTATGCGTCTGCCTCCCCTGCCCCGTCCTCGTCGTATGCGCTATTTTTCCTCACCAACCCAGTCCGAAGGCCCCGATTTGCCCTCCATTTCCAGTTGGTGGGGGGTCGGGGAGAATTGAAAAAAACATTTGCACCCCCCCAAAAAACCCGAACTTCGGGCGAAATTCGGGTCTTCGGGTTGGGTTGGGGTGGTGTGGTGGGTAGTCATCCATTGCGTGGCCACGCAGGCCGGCAGGTCACGGCCAGGTCACGATGGTTCCGTGCACGTCTGGGGCTCCTCTCGGGGCCCTCGCGGCTCTCGATGGACGCGCGGGGGGGATCTTGGAGGGCGTGTCGGGGGCTCCGCGGACGTCCTCGGGCGGCCCGCCACCAGCGCAGGTCCACCGAGCGAGATGCGGCCGCATCTCGCTCTCGAGCGCTTCTCGACGCGAAGGTGGGGCCGTGCAGGGCTCCGTTGAGGCCCTCCTTGGGCCGTCCGCGCCCGCCTGCGCGGGGGCTCGCGAAGGGCGCATGGAAGGCGAAGAAGGAAAAACGCCATAAGCAAAAACTTGTGGTGCTCCGCGCGGATTTCTCGGATCTGCGCCGGGCCCCTCCGGCGCCGCCCCTTGCGCGCTCCGCGCGCCAGGGAGGGGGGTCTGGCGCGGATCCAACAGATCCGCGCGGACCTCCAAAAGTGTAACGCGCAGGTCCCCAGACGGCCCCGGGAGTCCTCCGAGAGGTTCGCAGAGCAAGATGCGGGCGCACCTCGCTTTCGAGCACCGCTCGAGGCGACCACGGGGCCGTCCAGGGCTCTCCGTGGGCGCCCATCGGGCCCCCAAGGGTGTCTGATGGGGGGCTCGTGCGGGGGGCGTGCACGAAGACAGAGACCGAAGAGGAACGGAAAGACGAGAGAGAAGAGCCAGAGTATCAGCAGCCGCATCATAAGTTTTTCCCAACCATCCTCTGGTGTTGGGTCCTCGTTTTGAAGAGACGGTGGCCCGCGTCTCCTCTCCTCCTCCTCTCCTCCTCCCCCTCATCCCTGCGTTTCACCCACCGCTTCGTGGCCCCATAGGGAGCTCCACCGAAGGCCCCACTGGCAGGGTTCGCATGGCGGCCTCGGGCCATTTCGGCACACCCCTCACGAAGATCGTTGCCCCATAGGGAGCTCCACCGAAGGCTCCAGTGGCAGGGTTCGCATGGCGGCCTCGGGCCATTTCGGCACACCCCTCACGAGGATCGTGGCCCCATAGGGAGCTCCACCGAAGGCCCCCAATGGCAGGGTTCGCATGGCGGCCTCGGGCCATTTCGGCACACCCCTCACGAGGATGGTGGCCCCACAGGGAGCTCCGCCCGCCAGTGGCAGGGTTCGCATGGCGGCCTCGGGCCATTTCGGCAAACCCTCACGAGGATCGTGGCCCCATAGGGAGCTCCACCGAAGGCCCCAGAGACAGGGTTCGCATGGCGGCCTCGGGCCATTTCGGCACACCCCTCACGAGGATCGTGGCCCCATAGGGAGCTCCACCGAAGGCCCCAGTGGCAGGGTTCGCATGGCGGCCTCGGGCCATTTCGGCACACCCCTCACGAGGATCGTGGCCCCATAGGGAGCTCCACCGAAGGCCCCCAGTG